GCCATGACATGCGCTGCTGTGCTCAGAATGTCGCCATGACATGCGCTGCTGTGCTCAGAATGTCGCCATGACATGCGCTGCTGTGCTCAGAATGTCGCCATGACATGCGCTGCTGTGCTCAGAATGTCGCCATGACATGCGCTGCTGTGATCAGAATGTCGCCATGACATGCGCTGCTGTGCTCAGAATGTCGCCATGACATGCGCTGCTGTGATCAGAATGTCGCCATGACATGCGCTGCTGTGATCAGAATGTCGCCATGACATGCGCTGCTGTGATCAGAATGTCGCCATGACATGTGCTGCTGTGATCAGAATGTCGCCATGACATGCGCTGCTGTGCTCAGAATGTCGCCATGACATGCGCTGCTGTGCTCAGAATGTCGCCATGACATGCGCTGCTGTGATCAGAATGTCGCCATGACATGCGCTGCTGTGCTCAGAATGTCGCCATGACATGCGCTGCTGTGATCAGAATGTCGCCATGACATGCGCTGCTGTGCTCAGAATGTCGCCATGACATGCGCTGCTGTGCTCAGAATGTCGCCATGACATGCGCTGCTGTGATCAGAATGTCGCCATGACATGCGCTGCTGTGCTCAGAATGTCGCCATGACATGCGCTGCTGTGCTCAGAATGTCGCCATGACATGCGCTGCTGTGCTCAGAATGTCGCCATGACATGCGCTGCTGTGCTCAGAATGTCGCCATGACATTCGCTGCTGTGCTCAGAATGTCGCCATGACATGTGCTGCTGTGCTCAGAATGTCGCCATGACATGCGCTGCTGTGCTCAGGATGTCGCCATGACATGCGCTGCTGTGCTCAGAATGTCGCCATGACATGCGCTGCTGTGCTCAGAATGTCGCCATGACATGCGCTGCTGTGCTCAGAATGTCGCCATGACATGCGCTGCTGTGATCAGAATGTCGCCATGACATGCGCTGCTGTGCTCAGAATGTCGCCATGACATGCGCTGCTGTGGTCAGAATGTCGCCATGACATGCGCTGCTGTGCTCTGAATGTCGTCATGACATGCGCTGCTGTGATCAGAATGTCGCCATGACATGCGCTGCTGTGCTCAGAATGTCGCCATGACATGCGCTGCTGTGCTCAGAATGTCGCCATGACATGCGCTGCTGTGCTCAGAATGTCGCCATGACATGCGCTGCTGTGCTCAGAATGTCGCCATGACATGCGCTGCTGTGATCAGAATGTCGCCATGACATGCGCTGCTGTGCTCAGAATGTCGCCATGACATGCGCTGCTGTGATCAGAATGTCGCCATGACATGCGCTG